CCAACACACGCACGCACGCACGGCTTCTACTCTCTCCTTCCTCGGTCCACTTATAACTTTTATGTTCAAGGCAGGGTGACACTCCCATTATTGTATACAGGTATCTGAGTGCACATGGTCGCCTCTCCTAGACTGGAACTGCCTGAGGTCAGGCACCATGCCCTGGCAGCTTCTACAGTCTCCTCAGAGCCTGGCACAGAGCAGAACTGGCACCAGCCTGGTGAATGCATCAGTGAGTGAATGCGTTTGTGCCAGGACACTGAAACTGAGTGAGACAAGGAGCATTGTCTTTGAAAGTCTCCTTGAAATATGAGATTTTCCTCTAAATAGTCCTAATAAGAGCATTTCTCCTCTGGGCAGCATTGGGCAGCTGAGAGCATCTTCCATTACCCCACTGATGCAAACATTTCCTTTTTGGACAAGGGTGCAAGGACATTGCTATCCCTTTTCGGGAATGCCCCAGTCCCACACACTCAACCACTCATCCCATCTCAGTCACTTACAGTCCCCACTTTTCCTGAGGAGACCCATGCCCATCCCTGGCATCCATTTCTGGAAGCTATGGGGCTTCACTGGCCACCCCAGACTTGCACACTGAGACATCACTGTTCATCCCCAAAGCCGTGCACCATCATCTTCTTCTTGGCCTTCGCTCACACTGTTCTTTTCAGGGAATGCCCTTCCCTGCAGTCCCAGTTCCATCATCACCTCCTTCCCTCGCACCAGCAGCCTCTTCTCTCCCGCTGGTGCCCACAGTGCACACACCTCCCCACTACCACCTCTAAAGACGCGTAGGGCCCTGTCTCCCTCCTCTGGGTCGTTCATTTGTCTGTGCCTTGCAGGGGTCCAGCTCAGGTGGGACAAGACAAAGGCACTCAGCGTGCTGATGAGTGAGAGCATGAATGAAGAGCGGAACAGATGGTCACACTCACCTGAATTAGACTTGAACTTGGGGCCGCAGACTGGGAAAAGAATGAACACAAAATTCACCAAGTCAACAGCTGCTAGGTAGGCACCAGTGAAAACCTGGGAGCAGATGGAAACAGTCTTGATGTTCAAAATGTTCCAGCAACCACAGCACCTCTCATCCTGGATCCCCTCTCACACGTGTTCCACTGAGGACTGCTTCCAGGGACCACTCCCAACCCCAAGAAGGGTCAAGATCAACTCCCTCTGACTGATAAGGAGGTGGGGGTGGGTGCTTAAATGACTATTCTCGAGTAATGAAGCTACCCATCGGGAGAGATGGGCCAGGAACCCAGCCCTTTGCTTCCTAGCCCATGGTCTCTCCACTTCACCGTGTAACCTCTGCTGTGTAACTCTGGCCCAGCCACTGACCTCAGCTTCCTCATCTGTAAAACAGAGATAATAACAGTGCCTCCCTCACCATTTAAGCAGATTACATGAGTCAATACATGGAAAGTGCTTAGGCCAGCGCCTGGAGGAAAGTAAAATGCACCGACCTATAAATGCACTAGCTACCAGGACAGCACGGTTAGTGCTAAGAGCGTGCATTTCGTGTTTGAATCCTGGGACTGCTACTTACTAGAGGGTGACCTTAGAGAAGTTACTTAACCTCTCTATGCCTCAGTTTCCACATGTGTGCAATAGGATGAGAGTACGCATGTCACAGGGTGATTTGAGGATCAAATGAGCTAATACATGAAAAGCCCTTAGTGCTAAGTACAGAGTTAAGTATTTAGTAAGTGTCAACTATTATTATTGGACTTGGGCTGGGCCTCATCACTTTCCATTACCTAATGAGAACGGGCACTCACAGTGAAAAGCGATCTGTTTCTGAGACAATACTGCTCAAAGCAGTGTCTACAACTTTCCCAATCTGTGTCTCCCAATCCATTCTTAGGCTGTCCTCCTTCATGTCCAGCTGGGTGGGCACAAGGTCAGAAGCAGCCCTATGAGGTGGCCCTACAGGGGTGGCCACAGGTTTTCCCTGAGATACATGTTTTGGAATAGGCCCCTTCTATACAGGTTTGAGGGCCTAGACTTTGGGAAAACTTGTAACTGCTTCTCACTCACCCGAAAGCCCTCATCATCACCTGAGAAAGGATTCAGACACCCCTGCATGAGCAAAGGCTGGGCCCTAGGCTCTAAAAGCAATAGCAAGAACAATCACTATTTATTGAGCTTCTACTATGTGCCAGCTGTGGTTTTAAGTGATAGAGATAAGGTAGTGAATACAAATTCTTGCTCCTGTGGAGCTGATATTCTAGTAGGGGTTAAATACAATAAGCAATACACATACTAAGTAAGTAAAGTAGATGGTGCATTAGGGGTAAGCTATGGAAAAAAACAGGCAGGATGGGGGTGTCTGTGGCAGAGGTAAGTGGGTGGTCGGGGGAGGCCTTATTGAGAAGGTAGCTTCTGAGCTAAGACTTAAAGGAGGTGAGCAGTGAGCTATGTGGCTGTCTGGACAAAAGCATTAGAGGGGGACAGAAAGACCAGCAAGAACACAGGCCCTGAGGCAAACGTGCCTTGTGAGGAAACAAGACAGAAGCCACGGTCACCTAGGGGACTGACGCACCTGGATCGTGAGCTGTTTGGCCAGAATCGCCCCGACCGCGTCACACAGGCTGGCCAGGAGGCAGCATGCAGCACACAGCGCTGACTGGTCCTGTCTGGATTTTTTTGTACATCTCAGATAAAGAAGCCTGTGGGGACAGACAGGGGTGTGGACAGAATAAGGAAGCCATAAGTTTGGGCTCCCAAAACAGGTGTCTGAAAAAGATAATTGTAACTGAGTCCTTATGAAGCACTCTCTCCCCCAGGTATTCAGGGTGTGCTTTACAAATCAGAAAAGAAAGGCCCCCAGCCTGGGATGGGAGCCAGACCTGCCTCTCTAATGAAGAGGAATTTCTTCCCTCCTACAAATCTGGCCAACTCAAGTTCATGACCACCTTCCAGTGCTGACAAACTAGCTGTTGGGTTTTATTTTATGACAAGAAACAGGAGGGTTATAAAAGTAACCCAATCACTGTAGTTTACTGCAGAGCAGAATTAATTGCCTAAATTTAAAATGGCAGCTTGTTTAAAATTAAAATTAAATCCTTCTAATCCATCGTGTAAGGGAGTGGCCAGCCCATATCCAAGTTGCTTTCATTTGGGGCATGTGTTCTTTACACAGAGGGAGAGCAAAACTCCTTGAAGATGGCACGGAACTTCAGGCTAACCTCGCCCCAAGGCCTCTCCACTACAAGCTCAGAAAGGCAGAACATGCTGGAAGGGGCCAGAGGTCTCGCTGTCAGCAGCACTGACTGGACCTCAGAAACACTCTGTTCTAGATATTTCCCTGCCACATTTCCATGGCGAAACTGAGGCATCGCAATTGCAACCCTTGGTTTCATTTCCTCGCCCTGAGGACGCGCAGGGTAGTGCTCACTCCACATCCGCAGGACTCCACATTTGGCTGGTTGTGAGCATCAGCCCTTGGGAATCACGGGTGGGGATGGAAGGCTGTTAGGCTCCCAAACATCCCCTGGGAAGCCTGCCGCTCAGAGTAGGAAGAGCATCCTTTAATTTGGGCCCTGGGCTCCTGACATCGATTCAAAGTCTAGGAGCGAAGACTCTAAATTAGAAACTCTCTGAGTTAGGCCCCGATTAGAAAGAAGTTACCTCAACTCTCCCATTTGAAAGTGGAGAACACTGAGGCTTACGGAGAAAGGGGAATCAGTGGTGGGTCAACAGGGGGCCTTCTAGCCTCATGGAGGCTTCGCTCAGTCCCTTGCTGCTATCCAGACACTTTCCAGCTCTCAGGGTTTGGGGATGCTGGGCTGGGCCTAACCCAGCTCACACATAATTCGGAGGAGATACAGTCCCTAAAGACAAAGGGAAGTTCAGAGACGGCGAAGTCCTAAACACAGTGTGTCCAGACCTAAGGCAGCGTGAGGAGCAGAGGCTCTGGTCTCGGACGGCCCGCCTGGGCACTCAGGTTACCTGCTCTCTCCGATCCTGGGTTTCCAGGTCAGTAAAACGTCTGCTAATGCAGACCTCAGAGGGTGGCTGTGAGGAACAAAGGAGACAGGGCACTAAAAGCACCTCCTCAGTTTCCATCCTCTGGTCTGGCTGGTTTAATACTCACACGCCTGCCCCTTTCTAATAGGATCTGGGGTTTCAGTTTCTTCCACTCACTTGGGAAGTTAGTTAACCTCTGGGAACCTCAGGCTTCCTGATCTAAACGGGTAATTACAGTCCCTGCCTCCTGGGGTTGCCGCAGGGATTAAATGAGTTAATGAATGCAACACCAGGCCCACAGCAAATGTTCTAGTGTCTTTTGTTATTCCTATTCCAGCGACTGAGGTGAGGCTGAGAGTTTGTAACACGATCAGACATCTGAGGGGGACATCCATTGAGTGCCTAAGGTGGGCCGGTGCCAGTCTCCCGGGGGTGGCAGTCGTTTCCCCTCTGCCAGGGAATGCTGGGGGG